AACCATACTTACCTTTACGAGAGATCAATGAGAAATTCCACAATGATCGCCCAATTGATTTGGAGAGAAGAACGAAACGAGAGGAGACGAACGAAGAAGAGTAGACGAACGAACGCATAGGAGACAAACAAAGTAGAGGAGAAGAACGAAGCGAGAGGGAAGAAAAACCCTAAGAGGAGCGGGGTAATGCAGCGTTTGTATCCCTTTCACAACGAATAAAAAATTGAAAATAAGAAAGAACAAGAAGAGCGAGAACACATAAGAGGCGAGAGGAGAAGAAGATCCGGTGAAGAGGGAAAATTCTTAAGTAGCAGAGCGAGAAGACACAAGAAGTAGAGGAGAAGAAGATTTAGTGAAGAAGGAAAACTTATGTCCGATCTTATCCCTTTCAAAACCAAAAGAAATTTCCAATGAAGAATCTAAGGAGAAGAAGGAAGCAACAAATCGAGAGTGGAAGAGAAGGTAAGAAACCCTAAGGAGAGGGAAAATGAAACGCCCTTCCCCCTTTCGAAACAAATTAAAAAAAATAATGAAATAAAATTCGCACCTCTTACATCTTAGGGCGGTTTTACGAACCACCCTAAAGTTTTTCTATAAAAGTCCACCCTCGGTGCAAATGCTAAAAGGCAAAACCACCTCAAGAATTCTACTGCCATATCAATTTTTTCTTGTAATGAGTGAATTTCTATTATTAAGAAAACGTATTTGTTCTTAAATACTGAATATACACTCATTCTGTCTTGTAAATTTAAGACCTTTTTATTAAACATGTAAAGTCACTTTTTCAAATTTAAATTGTATTACATAAATCTATATATGATTTTTGGTATCTCATGAGACATTAGTAGCGTCTTATAAGGCTTTATACTTCTACAAGACTTGGAATAACAGTATATAAGTTTGATGAATGTGAACTTATAAAATCGATAGGTACTTAACGATTATATTGTATATAAAAAATATATATCTTTAGTGATATTTTTTTTTCCTACGAGATACTTTTAATGTCTTTCAATACATCACTTATATATATTAAGAGAAATATAATGTTTTTTCTTTTTTTTAGTTTACCCTTTTATTTAGTTTAGTCCCTAGTTTGTTTTTGTTTTGCTTTAGTCGCTTTACTTTTATTTTTTCCAACTGTGCACACGCTTTACATATATATAATAGATATGTTTATTATTTATTTATCATGAATAAATATTTTAATGTCCCCATTTGCATCTTACATGTGTCGAAATTTTGCATACCGAATTGAAATTACCCGTTTATTTTTGCCAAAAATTTATATTTATATTTTCGTTCTTGTTTCACGATAATTTGCATATCATGCCATTACATTATCTACATGTTTGATAACGCATGAGAACTTTATATGGATCGATATTAGGTAAATGAGTCTTCTATTTTTAAGAACCGACATTGGCCTAATGGGATTTCGTAATTATTTTTTAATAGATTAACACTAGTTGGTTGCCCACGTTACATTGTGAGTTGACCTAAACATGTGAAATCATTTGAAAAAATAATTTTAATTGGATAGCATGTACTATATTATAGGTCCGTTAAACTATATTGAATTAAAAAAAAAAAAAAAACTCATCTAATTTTATAATTTATTTTTCCTTATATTTTTATAAATTTTTAGTTAAAAAAACATGATTTGTTATTTTTATGTATTGATTTTAAAATAAGAACTTGCAATAATCTAAATAGGATATTTAATATAAAAATATTTAAAAATGCCTTAATATTTTATTTTTCATAAATTGCATCGAAAAAAATAAGCAATAATTAATATTAAAACTTGTATAAAAATTAACTTCCTTCTTATTTAATTATAATGACAAGATTATTTTTTAAAAAAATATGAATATTTGATTTATATATATTTATTCACAAAATAATCAATAAGATTAGTATAAAAGATATATTTTTTTTAACTCACACACCCAACGCTTTTTGAACCTATGACATCTTATTACAAGAGGCCACTATCACCGAGCGACAAGCTCTTGGGTTAAAAAGCTGTATTTGAATCATTAGATTGTTCTCCTAAAACATTAGTTCAATTATTTTATTTTAAAGAAATTGATTTTAGAAAGTTAAAAATAAATAATAATAATAAATAGTTGATGTTATATATATATATATATATATATATATATATATATATATATATATATATATATATATGCATAGTTCATTTCTAATAAACTAATTATCTCAGCTATATATTGACCATACTCGAGTGAGTTCGAGTGCATAACTTAAACAAAAAAAAAAAAAAAACTTAAAAAATAAATAAATTACAAGAAATGTATTAAAATTAATAGATTGAAATAAAAAAACTAAAAATTAATTTCAATAAATTTTAACTATACAAAGAAGCAACAAATAAAATACATGAATTCAATTTTTTTTAATTGATTTTTTAGAAGATTTGAGACAAATTATCTAAAATATACTTTAAGCTTTTTAACAATCTCATTTAAAAATTATAAGAATCCATCATATGAATTATATCGATATATAAAAAATATTAATTAATGATATTCTAAAATTTTATTCAAAAATCCGTACATAGAAAAAAATAAATCATATTTATTAGCAAATAAAATTATATAAGAAATATAAATTAATTTCATGAGAATTTCTATAAGAAACAAAAAATAAAAAAAAATCAATTTTAAATAATAAGAGTAATATAATTTGATATATATGTTCATTAAAAAAATTTATATTTTAAAATTTTATTCAAAAATAAATACATAGAGAAAAATAAATAATATTTATTAACAAAAAAAATTATATAAGAAACATATATATCAAATTAATTTTATGAGAGTTTTCATAAGAAACAAAAAATCAAAAAAGTTAATTGTAAATAATAACAATAACATAATTTGATATATATGTTTATTCTAAATTTTGAAAACATATATATATATATATATATATATAATCATCATCATCATCAACCCGTGTGGAAAACTAAAAAAATAATGATTTTCTATAATCTTTGCACCCAATTTAATAATAATAATAATAAATGGTAAAAAAAAAAAGCAAAAAAAAAAAAAATTCAAAAGCATTTCAATGTATATATATATCAAATAGGAAAATTCCTTTTTTAAGTTTCTATCTACTTTTTTCAATTATTATATGCTTTAAAACCACCATGAACACACACTTCCCACCAAGATAAACAATATGAATGTAAACTTGGCCATAAAAGATATTAAAATTGTGACGTAAATAAACTTGAACACTAAAATAATCTTTTAAAAACATCAAAGACCAAAATGTAATTTAAGAAAAATTCGTATATAAATGCCTTAATACAACCTAAAAATCAAGAAAATACCACTACATAACACACATAAATTTAAGTGAACGAGTTAATGAATAGTATTTTATATGTGTGAATAGTGTAGTAAATAGTCCAAATCTTTTAATGTGGCATTAAATATTTTTTATTTTTTATTGTAGAATCATGTTATTTGTATTTTGCATTTATATACCTTGTGCGTGACTTGTCTTTTTCTATCTAAGAAATTCATAGTAGGACTTTAATTGGATCCGACGTTAAATTAAAAAAAATATTAATTTTAGAGTTCAATGAAAATTTAATGAGATTCCGTAATTAATTTTAGCTAATTTAACATGTATAGAATTACATCTTCTATTGTTAAAATTTCTAATTATTGTATTTGCACCATGCCTATGTCATTTTGTATTTCAAGTCTTGAAGTCTCATTTAACATATTTCCACATAATTTTGTACTAAAAAATAAATTAATTTGACATTGGATTGATGATATTCTCAATTTTAAGATCCGGCAATAATTTAAAGAGATTCCATAAATAATCTTATAATTTTTTTTTATGTATTTGTCAACCCATCGAGGTTGCAATTTTCGAAGTCATTTTGTAGTAATTAGTTTTCATCAACTCATAGGTCTTGCATGATCTTCAAAAACCTTAATTGCGCTAACGCTAAAGCCACAAAGGTCTAATTTTTAGATCTTATCCAAAAATAAGGAGACACGAGCCTTCGAGTCCATTTTCAAACCGTACCAATTTCGGGTTCCGAAGGCCTAAATAAATATGATGAATAAATTTCTCATGTTAATTCTAAATTTTCATTGACTGGACTAAAAAATAAACTCGCAAATAACCTTAGATAATTATCAAAAAAAATAATGATTTATAAGAAATAAACTTATAAATAGAAACAAGTAAGGTAGCTTTTTCTTGAAAATAATATTTTGAGTTATTTTTATCTTTTCTTTAACATAACCAACTTCTTATTTATTTTTCTAGAACCAATATATTTTTAGGATTTTTAGTCTTCTCTAAAAAATTAGGTGGCAACTCCATTTCTTTTAACTCTTTTAGTCTGAAAATCCAATAAATTGGATAGCTACATATACATGCATTGCATTTTTTTTTTTTTTGGGTGATATTGAGAATCTATGTCATTTTCATGTTTTTTGTTATTATTCTTGTTTAAAAAAAAAAAAAAAAGGACAAGAATGGAGGGAAAGGGGAAATTGGCACACAAGTGAAAGTCGTGTAGGTTTATTGAAACAAACAAAGATTTTAGCTGAAAGTGAGACAAAATATAAATCTTAAAAGGCCAAATTAAAATTTACCCTAAAATAAATTAAAATCTATTTTGGTTAAAGCAATAGTGCACAATATTTATCCTTCTAAACTAACTTATCAATTAGTATTCTATTTATTAATCTGATACGTGTATATATATTTTTGAAATTTCAAGGTTGGATGAAACTAGCTATGCAGGTTTTTAGCTTTACTTGATAGTATCCTTGAATGTAGCACTTGTAAGAAGGAAGCATAGTTTGATTAATAAAAATATACACATTTAATAATATTAGATATATCCAAATACCACAAGAAATCCAAGCATTAGAAAAGGGATCTAGTTCTGTAAAAATGGAACATCAATCAACGTGTAACTTTCCATCCTTCGTCTATATCAGCCTATTGGCATCCAAGCTATTGGGGAGATCAAACATCAACATATTGCTGCAGTAACTGTCCCTCTCATCTTCAGTGCTGATATTGACATAAGTTGTTGATGAAGAATGCAAGGGAGTTGTGCTAGATGAAGGTGTAGATAGAAGTGAGCTAAAACTCAAACTTGGTAGCGCCTCGAAGGAAGTATCGTTGATGATGGGTTTGTTATTAGAATCATGATACACATAGTTTGACGTGATACTTTCACCGTTGTTGAGAGTACGCTCTCCATTAGTGTGCCACGAAGAATTTTGGCAGCTAAAGTTGGAGGGGTTACTATAAAGTTGCTCCAAATTGGCTTCCCTAATTTGGGTTTCATTTAGAAATTGAGCACTTGATGTATTTCTACAAGCTTGGATTTGGTCATGGAGCTCGTTTGGTTGTAAGCATTGAAATTGGTTATGAAATTGGTCGTTTCCAAGTTGGCTTTCTTGAAAATTTGTTGGACAAACATCTTGGCTAATATTATTGCCTTGGCATGACAAGAAAGAAGTAGCTAGAGCTAAGTGATTTGGGTTCAAAATGGGTCCAATTCCAAGCAAACTTGAAATACTAAGTTGAGATGAGTTGTGGACAGACGAATTAAGAACCGAAAAGAGTTGAAGAAGATCAAGGCGTGGCTTATGGGTCACAGGATCCATTCCCATCCTTAGGAGCTTTTTCTTTATGTGGGTGTTCCAATGATTCTTGATTTCATTATCGGTTCTTCCCGGCAAGCGACTAGCAATTGCGGACCACCTGATTAAGTGTGAACGGACAGAAAATTTAGTCACCAAAATAGTACAGAAATTGTGTTCTTAGTTAACTTGAATACAAGAGTCCCACATAAATAAAACAATTACTACAAAATTGTTCAGGATATTTTATTGTCTAGGAAGCAAAAATTCTCTGGCAACGAAATAAATTGTCCATTGAAGTCAAATTGGCGAAAAAAAAAATTAAATAAATAAGAAAAAGTTAGGCACAGTCTAGAAAGAACAAATTGAAGGACTCACTTATTTCCTAAGACACTGTGCATTTGAATTATTGTCTCTTCTTCTTCAAATGAGAATTGTCCTCTCTTGATGTCAGGTCTCAAGTAGTTAGTCCACCGGAGACGACAACTCTTTCCACATCTTTTGAGTCCTGGAAATTGATAACACAAAAGCATTCGTCAAGTTATTATAAAAGTAGCGACCGTGAAGAAAAGGAAAAAAAAAAAAAAAAAGGATAATTTTGTGTTTAACATTCCTCAAATTCTTGAAACCAGAAGGGTTATGCATGTAACAAAAAATGGAGAATTAACTTGTATACCTGCATTTTTCGGTAGGATTCGCCATCTTCCATGCCCATGTTTCTGAATGTAATTGATCAACTTTTGATCTTCCTCTGCAGTCCATGGACCTTTCTTTTGTCCATTTTTGTCACAACAAGGTGACTTTCCCATGACGTTGTATACTCACAAATTTGAAGAGCTGATTGAGTGTGGCCTATTTGTGTGTGAGAGAGAGGGGTGAGAAGGAGAGGAAGTGCCCTTTCACTCCATTTGAGAAACATGTGCGCAATATATATAGAGTAGAGAATTCAAGCAAGAGAAGCAAAACGAGCAAGATAAGTCAATGAGATTTGGTACCGTCTTTCCTCATCACATAATCTACGTGTCTCGTTAAACCCCCCAGAAAAAAAATTTGATGTACGTGTCTTGTTGGTAAGAAAAATCACAAATAACCAAAACAAAAACAACGTTATGCACTTTTAGTAATTAGTCAAATGAAATCAAATAAGCACCATCCGAAAGCCATGTTAAACAAATAACCAAATCTAATTAAGGGCTGCTAGATTAATTAACTAAAATCATTCGGTGTTTATCCGAATCAACTTTTAAATGGATCTAATTTACTTGAAATTTTAGAAATTAAGAGAAACTAATGGTGTCTATCAGCTTTATTCTGAAGAAAAAAAAAAAAAAAAAGAAGCTAATGGCGTCACAAGCTCACTAGCTAAAGCAAGCAGTGGACTGGAAATTTTATTTTTCCCATTATGTAGCTTAGTGGCTACAACACCCAACCCATTCAGATTCGAACTAGAGAACATACTCTCGAAGAACATTAGTACATCCAGCAGCATCAAAAGGTAAGGGATGCTGCACTGTTCCGTAATGTGAATTTCATTGCTTAGTATTTTATTTTATTTTTTTAAGTTGTCATTAGCATTGCGCCACTTTCGTTGTCTTTTATTTTATTCTTTAAGCTGTCATTAGCAATGCGCCACTTTCGATGTCTACTGAAAATTCAGATAATCCTTATATATATATATATATATATATATACACTTTTTAGTTATGTAAAAACCGAAAAAAACTATAGCTTTATACATCTAGATAAGTATGTATTATAGTAGATATTATTAATATGTATGTCGATCTATATTATATATATATATCGGTTAATTTAATTAACTTGTAAAATAGATATTTCTAGATAAATTTATCATATGTGAAGAATCAAATTTGAATTGATAATACGAGAATTTTCAGTCTTTTGTTATTTTTTCAAGCTATTTCGATAATTTCTATACAAAAGATACATTAATAAAATTAAAGTAAAAAACAATTGTTAACTCAGAAGTATACTTTCAAGCTAATAATCCTTTCAATAGAAAAAAAAATGTAGAAATAAGAAAAGGACCGATAAAAGCCTCGTAACTGAATTGCTTAAAAACCCAGTTCGGAAAAATGCTTGGCTCTTTCAGTTTGGTCCCCTCAAGAAGTCTCTCTCACTGTCTCGTGTTCCAAAACTGTTGTGGGAAACAAACAAAACCTTTCAGCTGTCACTGCCACGTATCCCTTCTGAGGTATTGCTTACAGGATTTGACCCTGCTACAGAACCTAAGCATGTGCATGGCTCCAAGCCGACTTGACTTAAGGATCCATCCGGTTGGCTAGCTCTTTTTGAGTCGCAATTTCGTTTCGGACACGAGGACGACTCTCGTTAGTCATCATCTTTTTCATCGTCGCAGTCAAAGAACTTAATTGGTGTGTTAAAAAAAAGGACTTCATTGGTTAACATAATTTATTCTATTACAAAGTAATCATGTAACGTTTAATATAAGCTAGAGATTTTCAACCCACCAAGGAAGATGAAGGTTACACAGATAAACTTAGCTAAATAATGGTTTGTAACTGTTTTTAGTGAAGTGAAATTTGAATTTTGGTGATTTAGCCTCTTCCGTTATATTTTCATTCTATATCTCAAGACTTGATATATATGTATAAACTTAGCTAAATAATGGTTGGTTTCTAACTGTTTTTAGTGAAGTAAAATTTGAATTTTGGTGATTTAGCCTCTTGAGTTATATTTTCATTCTATATCTCAAGATTTGATATATATATATATAGACGGAAAAAAATTATAAATTAGACAACTCGAAACCATCCATTATAAAGGACTAGAGGATATGTATCTATCATATGTGACTTCTAAGCACTTGGTAAAATCCATTACATCCCACATGCGACAACAATGTGTTGTAGCTCCCTTGATGCTGCTGGGTGCGGGGTAAATTTTCTTTTCATGTCAGAATTTATTTATTTTTGGTATCGGAGATACGTACAGAACAAGAAAGACTAACATTTGACAAAAGCGATACTCATATATAGTCTTGTCTAGGAGGATTGAATTTAAATTTTGAGAGTGAATATACCAAATATGAGAAGAAACTTAAGAATTAACACTTGATTTCACAAGAAAATCAATATATATATTCTCTTTTTTCTTTTCTTTTTTTAAATGTGGTGTAGATAATATATTCAGAAACGATTGATGAGAGGTTTGATATCTACAACAAAACACGGTGAAAATGAGAAGAATTCGCTACATTCACAATAAATTCGATTGCTTCTATGCAATCTGTTTCTACTAGTACTTGTAGGTGCCTCAATGACCAAGTTAATTTCAATCTAAACCTTATGGCTTGAAGTTCAACTATCATGTTAATTGTTTATCCAATAAATCCATAAAACCCATGAATTCATTTACCTTCTTTTATTGCAGGTTAAACTGTTCATGCCCGTTCAATATAATTTCGTTGAGATTTAATTCATGAAATCTATAAGTTTCTACTATAGTTTTTTCAGATTATGTTTACAAACTATCAAGAGGTATTTCAACTAGTAACATTAAACAAAGACTGAAGAGACTTTACTTGGTATTTAAATATAAGGTAAAATCTCTTCAATCTTTGGTCATAATTTATTTCTGATTCATAAATGTTAGAAACACATGCATCAACAACTAAGTCCAAGCTCACAGTTTCAAAAAGGTTGTGGGGCTTTCATTTTGTTGTAGAGTTTTTCCTATATTCTGTTACACGATGTTCCTGTATCAATTTCTAAATAATTGAGAGCCCCGTGCGTGTTTTTATCTTGAAGCAGCCTCTGCGTAAAGCGAAAATCTACAGCTGAAAACATGGGTCAAATTCTCTAATTTTGGACCTTCAAACTTTGATTTGAATTGTTAATGTAATTACTTGCTACCTACGCAGCGTATTCAGGCCATTTCTTTTTTCTGATTGTGAGGTCTATCTCCAATTCAAGATCACCTCGTGACAAATTTTACTAAGTGATAAGACTTCTTATGGGGTTAGGGAGATGCATTTTCTTGAGCTGCACATGCTATATATGGTATACCATCACCATTGAGTTGGCTTAAAACTGTCTTGACTTTGGAAGGTAAAGTATAAAATGATTAGGATAATCTTCGGACAAGAGTTTGAATACTATTGATGATAATCTATCAATTTGAAATATACAGTAATACTTACAATCTGTACACAGATGCACCCACATATAATAATACCACATTCATCACTCTTTTAAACCTAGGGGAAAATCAGGAGGATCCCAAACAACTGGCAAGATAGTCTATTGTATAAGTTGCCCTGCAAATAGTCTATTGTATAAGTTGCCCTACAAATAGTAAGTCTTGGCTGGAAGAGCAGACATTCAGAGCAGAGGGGAGGGAAAAAAAAAATTTCTTAAGAATTAATTATAGCACCCTTTTTATTTTTATTTTATTTCGTTTATTTATTTGAGAATGCAAAATACTATTTCATTAACACCCATAAAAACACAAATATAATGCAATTATCATATAACAGTTACAATGAAGATAATAATATTAGCGACTGAATTTTTGTTTGGAATAAGTCTTAACAATGACTTTCCAAATAGCAACAACAATAGGTGAAACTGACTTTTCAAATAGCAAATGATCCTTCCATCAATCTAAATGATTTGAACGAAAAAAAAAATTCTCTCAACTTCCCAAACTTGGACTGTTTTTTACAAGAACTTTAACGCCTGATGCTACTATGAAATAATAGAAGAATAGGTCGTACTATCAAGTAAAGATCTAGATCTAGATAGTTTAGATCTAAATCTACAAAAACAAATAAACTAAAATCCATATATTCATAAGTATCTAGATCTATTTTATTCTTTTTATTCCAAAAAAAAAAAAAAAAAAAAAAAAGGACGCGCAAAGATCTGTACATATAGATCTAATCTAAGAGGGAAAAAAAATGAAGTGAAGGGGAGAAGGAAAAAAGGAAAAAGAGAAAAGAAGGCCTTGGAGCTGACAATGGCCAGCGATGGCCCCAAAAAAAAAAAAAAAAAGGAAGAAAGAAAGAAGAAAGATAAGGTATTTGGATTTGAGAAAGAAGTCAGGGCTTCTCTCTCCGGAATACTCTATTCAGATTTAATAGTATGAATAACGCCTTTTTTATTTACTTAATTTAAAATTCTCTCATCACCTATTGGTCTAAATATTTAATGGCCTCGTTGAGCGAGGAATAATCCAAAGAAGAGCTTCTTCTTTTTTTCTTTTTTTTTTGGAAAATGCTTGACTTATCCTTGTACCAATAAGAATAGCCAAAGAAGGACACCTGTCGTTGAGAATTTAATAAATTCATGGCATTGGACCGCAAATTACCACATTCATCTCAGTTTATATGGGATTCTTCTGCATTGACCGACGGGTCGTCATGCGATGCACATTGGAAGTTTGGTCCCAAAGATTGACAGGACAAAGATCACCTCAGTATGAATGACACTTCCTCTATAGGACCGATGGTGTAACCTAGCTAGGCACTAGGCATAGCTTTGGAGGTAACATAGCACCCAGGGTCATAATGGCAACAAAAAAAAAAAAATGTCATACTTGAACACTAACCCTGCATTTTACTTTTGTATTTAATTATACCCTTCATATATTATGAGCTTTGCCCACCAAACTTAAATTTCTATTTCCGCTCGATCTCTATATCCATTTTAAGCTATAGTAAAAATTCTAAAAGGAAGCATTAATTCGGGATTAAGGAAAAAAAGACTAACATAGACTGTGAATCTATTTATTAAGATTTTAATTTAGCTAGCGAAAGCTAGAAATT